AGGATGCAATAATGCTCTTGTGCAAATCTGGGGGGGAATTTAGCAGAGGTGCTTGGTGCCTGCTGCCAGCTGTTACTCTTTCCTTCTTTTTGCTTCTCCTGCTTTGACAAAAAAAAAAAAAAAAAAAAAAAGAAAACAACAGGGCTAGAAGGCTGATGTCAAGTCCTTGGATAAAGCAACAAAATTTCAGACTTTTATAATTTATTTTTGCCATCTCAGGGTGGGGAAAAGCTAAAGATGAGACCAATACATGACAGTAAAGCTTGCTAGCAGGACAAGAAAACGCGGCAGAGGTATCAAAGCCTAGCTTTAAGACTTAGGTCTTCACTACTCAAATTGATTAGGCAGGGCTGCTGAGATCCATAAGCCTGTGTTTGCTACTCCACCAGAAGTGCCGTGCCAGTAACTGCATTCTTGGCTTAGGACTAAAGTGTCCCAGACATTCTGCAACAAGATCCCTGAAGCAAAGGAGATCTAGCTATGAAGTTTGCCAGGTAGGGGGAACTGAAACTCAAGCAAATCTGAGTCAAACTTCTCCTTAATTATGTTAATAATAGACAGGGGACAATCTGTTTCTCCTGGCTTTTGTTCTGATGATTAAGACCGCTGCAAGCACTTCCTATCTTTTCAATCTATTTTTATCTGGAGGAGCCTTCACAGAGCTTGCAGTATCTCAAGGAGAACAATACTCAAGTAAATGGAACTGTATGCCTTATTCTAAGTAGGAAGTGGTTTTGATAAGCTTTCTTAGTTCTCTTTTAGCAGCTTCCAAAGCAATTTGCCAAGCTTGGAGCCACCTTGTTAAGTGGCCTAGGAGAAAGTGTGCCAGTGAAGGTCCTTGGCCCATTGGCAGGAGTCTGGGCTGGAGCAGGTAAACTCTACTGGTAAGTTGTGTCCTGGGGCACCATGTGTTTGGTGATCTTCCGAGACTCGTATTGCAGTAAAAATGAAAAACTGGATGCGGCACCGGGGTCTCAAACTATTAGCAAGGTTTTCTGAGGTTGCCTAGAATGGTATATAGCTGACATGGGGCATGGGGAGTGCCTTTCCTTTGGGCTGGTGGCCCAGTCCATCATCACCTGTAGATGGAAGGAGCTCCAGGGAGCCCCAAGGCCTGTCTGGTTGCAGGGGGTATGGCCTGCTTCAGTGGAGGTGGCTCTGCACTGTGGCAGTCATCCTCTGCAATAAGCTCAAGGAGGAGTGCTTTGGTCTTTTTTTTTAATGTCTGCACTAATATCTTCTGTCATTTCATGGCTGTGAGGTGTATGTTGGCCTGGCACTAGAAATTGTAGGGCAATGCATACCTGTACCGAGGAAGAAAACACCTGGGTCTCTCAAGGCAGTTTTGCAGGAAAGATGGCAAGGATCCGCCAAAAGATTGCTGAAATGGGAGCAAAATATTAACTAATCCTTGGAGGAAGGTTTTGGGAAATACAGCCCAGACTGCAGTTTTCAGTGAAGACCAGGGAGGAGGGCAACTCCCCCCTCAAGCCAGCTTCCTCGCAGAGGGGAAGGGGGCAAGGCAAGGGGGAGCCCACTTTCAATCCGAGCGAGCCCCACAGATTATCAGGGGTTCAGCCCGCGGCACCCAGCCCTTGGTGGGGGGCGGGGTGCTGGTGAAGGAGCCCACGGGCCCCATGGCCAGCCGAAACCCAACCCATGAAGCAGCCCAGCAGCCGAGGCTGCTCTAAGGAGGGATCAAAACCCGGTTGAAGCACCTCTGGAAAACCTGGCAGTGCTCTAAGGGCTTGCTGTAGTTTTGAAGGGCAGTTGTGTTATTTTCTTTTTCGCCGGGCTATCAAGGTGGCTGCCAGATTCTCCAGATCATTTGCAGAAACCGGAGAGCCAGAAATAATCTGTCAAAAAGCTGTCTCCCAGCATGTGGCTGTAGATCTACGGTATGGGTTCTTGCATCACCTTGGAAATTGAGAAATTTCTGACAACTTAAAGCTCATTAAGAATGAAATGAAATAGAGAAGTGTCACAACATGGCAGGATGAAATCTGTCCTTCCTGGATTTCCAGGGTCAGACAGAGCGATAGGGACAATAACGGGCTCCTATCGGGGGGCCCCACTGGCAGAGAGAAGTCGTGTTTTGAGCGGTTACAGTGCATTGAAAATTTCTATCCTGCCCCTTGGGAAAACATGCTTGTTAAACATTAACATGGTTCCCAGGACGAGGACAAACACAGACAAATGGTCACAAACTTGTGTTTCTCTCACCTTTCGCAGAGCCAGGGTTACCTCTGGGTTTAAAGTTTCCTCACCCATATTTACCTCACAGTATGACAGTCCCTGGTGTTTCCGACATAGTGATTTTAGGAAATGGTATTGCTGGTGGAGGCGTGGTGAAAGTGTGGTTAGACAGCACAGGCTAAATCTGTTGAGGCAGGCGCTGCTGCCCAAGTCCCACCCTTCCCTTCTTTCCCCGTTTCTCAAGTATTTGCTCCTGCCATGTTGTTTGGCTGGACCACCGGTGTTTCTCTGACCCTTCTCTGAGCTGAGTTACTTTGTTAAGCTAGCAGAAAACCAGCTCTACAAAGAAAAAGTCCGTAGCAGGGAAACAGGTCCATTCACTAGAGCGTCAGATGATAACTAGCAAGGAAGGGATTGTGTGCTGGGAAAGAGCAGGGATTGGGAAAGCAAGGGGCAGGTCTCTTTTCTTTGGAAACAAGGAGCTGTTGGAGCAGGCAGGCTGCCTTGCCTGACTGCACCCTTATTGCTCACGGCTTGTGTTACAGCTGCCAAACCCTGGCATCACGGCCGGCCCCAGCCCCAGCTCCATCCTTCAGCGAGGCAGGGCAGTTGAGCCAGGACAGGCTGTAGGTGCCACTGTCCTTTACTGGGCCTTGGGCTTGGGTGAAGTTACGTGGCAATCTAGGACAGCAGAGATCTGAAAATTAGCCCAAAGGGAGGATAAATGGAGAGGGAGGCTTTCCGCAGCTCCAGTTACAGTAGCCCCACATCCTGCTTCAGGTACTGCATTCCCTCCCTGGTGCTGTTGGGATGAACTGGTTTGCTCCAAAACCTTCCGGGGAAGAGAAATGAAAAACCAGAACAGCACATTTGTTACTGAAAGGCACTCAGTCTTGAGGTGTGCACGTGCAGGGGAAAAGGTGGTGCCGTGATCTGGCAGTGAACGTGCCCCGCCGGAGGCGATGTGGATCCGTCCAGGGCACGCGGTCCCACGGGGCCAGGGAAAGCGTGACACGGGATTTGTGCTGCCTCTAGGCTGGCTGCGGGAGGTGACAAGGTGATCCAGCATAAAGCTCCAGTGGCACAAACAGATGACACTAGATCTCCTATAAAAAAACACCAACCCTGCTAGTACGACAAATTAGCTCTGAAAACTTGACTCGGCAGCAAAAGTTAAGCCTAAGTCAGCACTTTACATTGTGTGGCTGCAGCAGTTTTGACCTAGGAGCCCTAATGCTGGATTTACTGCACTGTGAAATCACGGCCACGGGAAGGGGAAAGCAAACGACCAAGTGAGGCCAAAGCACTCGGCACCTCAGGAACAGTGGCTGGTAGGACTAAGCCTGCAGAAAACTACAAGTTCCGCTGGGTCTGGCAGTGTTCAGAGCTCCCAGCTCTATTCTAAGCACTCATCAGAGCAGATTAACAGCTTGCCAAGTCCAGTGTCTACGTGAAAAGCTGGGAAGAGGGACTATGATAAATTATCTTTCCATATTCTGATCACATCTAATTTGGTGACTGACCATCTGTCTACTTTTTTTAGCTTCTTTTTAAGGCTGTGGTATATGTGCTGGCTTTCAAAATCACTTCCAGATGTAAAGTTCTTTCAGATAACAATTCATTTTTTCTTCTTTCACATTAAAGTGTAAGGGGTATTGGCAAAACAATTATTTTTACCATTGCTTTTGTCTTTTTTTTTTTTTTTTTTTTTTTTTTTTTTCAGTATGCTGTATTCCAGAATAAGAGTGCTGTGCTGGTCCTCTCAAGTAAGGAGCTCCAGTGCCAACAGTGTACACACTGGCTTCCAAAGTTTATGTTCCACATGCTTCTCTGCACAAAATAACGGCCCCTTAAAGTAGCAGAGAGCAGAGCCAGCTCCTGGGGCAGTGTGCTTGAGGCGGGATCTATAGAAAGGAACTTTATGGGAGAAGGGATCCATATGAGGAAGATATTGGTGTTGTCCCTGACTAATTACCAGATTTTTTAAAATAGCTAGAGGGGTTTGCCCCGGAGTGTCAGACTTGCACAGTGAGAAGAACTGAGTTAACCTAAAAATTTAAATAAGCAAAACACTAAATCCACATGGAATGCCACAAGTTTGAATGCCTAAAATTTGTCTCCTGAGGACTTCTGGACAACAAATTCTAAGTACTCTTTAACTGACAGTGAAAATGGTTTGAAGCCAGCTCTGAAATGCATGCATTTCTAAAGATGTCTCATCTCCTCTCATGTCCTTTTACTTTCTGGCTCAGCTTTAGATAAGATGCTGGAACCATTGTTTCTACAGAACCTATCACAAGCAGTATCTTCTGCCTGCTGGCATTCAGCTCATTACTGAGGTGAAGGTTCTTAAATATTTCCGTTTCTTTTACCAGAAGGTTATGAGTCGCTCCATAAAATTACCAGTAATGAAAAAATCTCTGAAAGCAAGTCCCGGAAGTAGGATAGGGAAGATAATGGATATTTTGAATCACATATAGTTCAGGGAAAAAATGAAAGAAAAAAATTATTTTGACTTGAATTGAAACAGAAACCTTTCATAAATTGCTGGTGAAATCCAAAGTTTTGAGAAAAATAATTTCAGGATAAATTAAATATTTGGTTTGTCCTAAAATACATTTCATTTTTCTTTCTGCTTTGAGCATTGTCATTCATATTTATCTTACTAGAAAGTAAATTTCAAGGAAACACCAAAATAGAAAACTGAAAAGAAATGCATTTCATTTTGAAAAAAGCAGAAATGAAACAAGTAATTTCCTTCAAAAATATTCTTTTTTTCTAATAGACAAATAAACCCCAGCATCAATTCACAAGATGTTGCAGCGTTACTGAAACTTCTCCAAGAAATAATTCCCACATTTGTATATGTAAGTTGCTTTCCAGGTGGGAAGAAGAGAGAGCAGGAGAGGGGATGCAAATAGCCATAAGGAGACAGTAGTTGCAGGCCGTGCTGCCCATCTCCTCTGGCGAGGGTCCTGAGGGGTCCCAGCCCTGCTTTCCTGGCAGGATTCTTAGAGAAAAGGAATCTGCCTGGGGCTCCCAGCCTACCCTGTGCACAGCTGGAGGTGTCTTGAGCCAATGGAAGAAAATCAAAACCTCTTGTTCTGAAACAACTTTAATCTGGTGAGGGAGAGATCTCCATATGGATGTTAAAGTAAGCAGAAATTCTTACTGACAGTGTAACCCACTTAGATTTCCTGTATCTACAGATTTAAGGAACAGCCATTAGAACACCGATTTTTTGTGACCCCCTCTCTCCCCATCTGTGAGTAGCACCTGAGATGCAGCCCCGATTCAGGGTAAAATCCACAGGGGGGGAGCCCTCCTTGAAGCACCAGCCTTTCTCCACTAAAAGTGGAGGGACTGAGACTCTCAAGTCCATGCTCTGAGTAATTCTGCCAGGAAAACATGACTACTGGCTTGGTATTGCAGCAGCCCGGGTATTGCAGCTCCGATGCTCACCATACAGTTTCACCCCACATTTTCAGACCGCTTTGTCTTTGATTTTCAATCCATGCTTCAGCTTGCTTCTCCTTCTTGATCTTCCTGAAGGTCATATTTGCTGTCTTTGCAAGACCATTATCAAACAGCTAATACAGAGGAGGGAAAAAACATTTCTGCCAAAAATATGTGAGATTCCTAATCTGAGCTCTAAAACCTTATCTGCACATGAACTGTACTGCCTTGTCATGGGTCATGGGTTAACCATCTTGATGTGGAAATGTTTGTTTCTGGAAAGAAGAATCTGTCTGCAGATGCACCTTTATACTAATGTGATGAAGGGTGTGACCATAAGGTGTGTGTGGTGTAAACGAACCAGCAAGGATAAAGCCTTATCTTCATATACAATTCAGTGAAAACTTTCCAATTGGAGTGTTTTGGCAGTATGTTATTATTTGAAAGGGCATATTACTGCAATGTGGTGTTTGCTTGCTTTCCAGATAGACTATGTACTCCATGGATTTAAAAAAAAACAAAAAAATGTTTTTTGGCAGAGGACAAAGCAAAGAAAGAATAACTTTTAAACACAGCACAGAAATCCTTCTGGTGGCAATCACTCCATGCAATAGGTGGCTAGTATTCAGCTAAACTAGTCTTCTGGTATAGCAGGTTCTGGCTAGCAAGGCTCCATTGTCATTTACAAGCAAGCATATTTAAGTGGTTAGGATATCTTAATTCCATTTTGCTGTGATTTGGCTGGTATCCTTGTGCTTATTACTCTCCGAGCACACTTAAGGGACCAACCCCTTCATTTACATGTTCAGTTACACAGTAATTTTTTTATCAGCTCACTCTTTCATGAGTTGCTCTTTGCCGAGTACTGCGTTGGAAGTGTTTGCTGGTCTCAGACGAGGCGATGCTTCACTTGTCTTGGGAAGCAGAAGACAGAAGTCCTCACAGGCAGGAAAAGCTGGGCTAGGTGGAAAATACATTGGCATAAGTAAGATACAGATTTAAGGCACAGAAATTGTACTTGCAAAATATGTCTGTCTGAATTCTGGCATTAAGGGAACTCTGGAAACCACAAAGAAAATAACTGCCATTAGCCTGGGAATTACAGGAAAAGGTTTGAACTAAACTATACACACGGTGTTTAGGATGCCCCAAGAGCATGTGTAAACGTTGGGGCGTACCTGCACAGTACAGCTGAGGATTTCTAGCAGTTTGCCACAGTACATCTGAGGATTTCTAGCCATTCCCCACCAGTCCTGACCCAGGCCCTCCTGCCCTGCTTGCAGCCACACACCTTTGTCCCTTCTCTGGAACCATCTCTGTCTCTCAGACTAGAATGGGTGAGCAGATTCTCACCAGGCAGAAACTGCTCACCTGTTTTTTTCTGTTTTTTTTTTTGTTTTTTTTTTTTTTCTGTTTTTTGTTTGTTTGTTTGTTTGTTTGTTTTTTGTTTGTTTGTTTGTTTGTTTTTTTGTTGTTTTTTGTTTTGTTTTGTTTTGTGGTTTTTTTGGTAGTGTTGTTTTTGGTCAGCGCAGCAATTTCAGTTGGCGCTTCGATCCATCAGACACCAGAAGCAGTGCTCAGAAGAGGCCAAGGGCTTTCAGGCAGCGTGAGGGGAGCTGGCAGAGGAGCGATATCTCCTCGTTCGGTGGCAGGGAGCATGGGGGTTGGCAGAGCTCTGCTATATTGCAGCACCTGGGAGCTAAGGTACGTTAACTGTGAGGTACGGTTGTGTAACTCAGAGGAGCCTGTTCCTTGGCTGTAAGGGTCCATAATTCTTCTGCGGGATTCATAATGCTGCGTTGTCTTTTTCTCTGTCCGGAGATTCTGAGTATAGAGGGAAAAACAGTTTGGTTTTGGGCACAGAGTATATACCCCTTACAGTAAGAAGCGTAGGCCTTGAGTAGTTGGCAGGCATATTCTAAACAGCGTTAGAAAAAGCTGTGCCTTTGGACTGAGAATCACTCAAAATTTGTCTTTTTATCCCCCTCCCCTTTCCTGTGAATTTACAGTGTCACTGTTTCTCATCATGTCAAAAAACCAGCCCAAATACTCAGGGTTTGTTCCTTCCATGAAATCTCAAAAAGATAGAGAAATAATACAAAGACAGTCAAAAGTCTCATTCAGATGCAACCACATCAGTATGGGTTACTTCTGGCATAAAGCATTATTTTTCTGCATAAGTGTTGCACTTTTTGAGTTGGTATCAGCACACAGCCTGTTCCTTGGAACACTGCAACGCCAGTTGCTGTTACTGACTCTTGTGCTGCTGTCCCAGCTTGACAGTCACCGCTGCTAAATTGCAGTATAACTGAAAAGCTGAGGTATTTGCATGAGAAGAGACTTTCTGGAACCTAAGCAAAGCTTGTAAAGTGAACAGCTTAAAACTGAAAATGTATATGGGAGGTCTAGATTCTGTAGAAAAGATTAATTTGGGACTTTTAGAACAGTAAAGGAGACTTAGCCACGGATCTTTCATGAATTGCCATGTCCAGCTTGGAAAATTTTAATGTAAATTATTTAATAGCAGATGACAGAGTATTCTTGAGCAGTACTAGCTCCAGCTTTGACCCTTTTAAAATACCAAATTCATTAGAAAAGAACAAAAGAAAGTAAATACAGAAAAAATGTTAGACATATAAAAGTGCTGAGGAATGGAATACTTTCCATGGTGATTTATAAAAAAAAAAAAAAAAAATCAAGTTTTTAAATTCAAACCAGCATTTAGGGGCTACAACAATGTAGAAACCTTGGCAGGATAAGGAGCTCTGACTGAAGGTTATTGTTATTATCTATTTTCTGCTAAAGCAGGAGCCAGATGTGCTAGAGTTTATCCCAGTAATTTAAAAGGGAGCTTTTAAAATACCTTTACTTAGTTCTTTTACTGTTCTCTTAAACTTTTGACTACTTCTCGTTTCATTTTTTTGGTCAAACCCACAAAAATTTGTTAGGGAGTACTCGGTTAGGTCAGCTCAAATTTTCACTGCTTGCTTTCTGACCACTGTTTCTTTTAATCTCCTATGAGCAGAGGTTAGCTCGAGGGGGTCTGAGCTTCAGTTCCCATCCTTTGACAATCACAGGCTGGGACAACTGGAGCTTGATGTAGAACTCAGAGAAAAAACTAGGGAGGTGTTAGGTTTCTGCTTAGTCATCTGTTTTTCAATCAGTGTTCCTTTCTCTTTTTTTTTTTTTTCCCCATTAATGACTGCTGAATAGTTTGCAAAGAATGCTTCAGATGACCAGTCTTCTGTGCTGCAAAGTGTTACATTCCTCTGCCCCTGGAAGCGGTGTGAACACCAATACCTGTTTGCATAGGGCGCCTAAGAGTTTACACCGCTACATGAGGTGAGGAAACAAATCCGTAGAATTCCTATGAGAAGTGGAAAAAGGAATAGATTTGAAAAGAGATCTGATGAGAATCTTTGCAGAGTTAGAAACAGAAAATTACTTTAGTTTAGCTAGGTTTACAAGATCCATCGCCCTGTTACCCCCACTCAAACAAGACTCCATAGCCTCTTCCCAACACCTTTTGAGAAAACAAGTAAGACCCAGGTCCCTTTGTGGCTTTTGGTTTCTAAATATTTCCCCCTGGCCAAGTCAAAAGGTGATTTCACAAAATCCCTCTTTGGCTGCTCTTGACCCTGAGGTGGAACTAAACTCCCCCAGCACCGAAGTCCTCGGCCAGACCAGAACTGATTTCGCAGGCAGTGGCAGCTTAGCTTTCAGTTGGGTTTGCAGGCTACAGGGCCTCACCCTGCACGATGGGTCAGTCCTATGTAAGAGGCTGTGGGTGATATATTTGGGATAGGACGGGGACAGAACAGGGGGAATCAGTGTCTTTCCTGGGGAAGCCCTGATGGGCCTGCGTAGGTATAACATCAAACCACAGTATGGGGTCAAGAACTGTGCATAAAGCCACCTTCGGGTGCTGGTTTGCTCCCTCAGACCTTTGCTGATGGCCAGGATCCCAAAACATCAGACTTTCTTCTTGAGTATTTTAGTGTTTCCAAATCAAGGAAGGTACTTTTTATCCTGGAGTAGCAGTTCTTAAGTTTTGAGGCGTGGAGAAGCAGGTGGTTATTCACACAATGGTACAGGGCTTTTACGTTAACATGGCTCTTTTGAAGTTATATCTGGGTCAATTTGCAATTATCAGAATATAATGAAAGAAATAAAAGTTGGATAGAGTACTTTCTTGAAGTTATTCTGTAATCTGTGGACCACCAGCTGGTCTGCAATGCCATAATTTGCTGTGACATGGTTTGTGGTGTGCAAATGATGGAGAACTCTGGTTCTCTATTGAGTAATTACCATAAAAATTTATGTTGGCTTAAAAATACTTATCCTCAAAAATTCCTTGTTCTCTCCTTTGACTATAGAAAGATTAAGGACAGTAACTGATACAGTAATTTAACTTCTCGATGACCATATTAGACCTGTAGATCCTGCTCAATCAAGACATTAATACTGCTGCTGATAAAACACAAGTTGGCAGAATCATGCCAGCACCAAATGCATTCCTGCACTTGACGTGAAGAAAGTGTGGCTAAGGTTAATCATAAGGAAGTTCTAGTTAATCATAACTCTGGAGTGAAGTAGAAGCAATGTACATAAATTAGGGTAACACAGAGCAATTTTCAGAAAAAAAATCCCACCCTAAAATTTTATTATTATCTCCCTGTGAGACTTCAATTTGTAATTTGCACTGTAATTCCATCAGCTGTCTTTTCTGCTTCTCTGCACAATCAGATACAGCGTCACCGTGTCATTAACGAAACAATTATTCTAACAACAGAACTAATAAATGCCTTCTGTTAGATGTAGGATTTAGCCAGTAAACACAAATAGACCTTTTACATCAATACCAGCTAGGATTAACAGTGACATTTAATGTCACCCACTCATTCATGAATTGCCACATTGTCACTGTGAAAAAAAAAAAAAAAAAAAAAAAGGGGCACAATTAGCAAATGCAAAGTTATCATTCATGGGAGTGAAAAAACTGCGACTATTTACAGATGTTAGTCAAAAACTCTACAATTAACGAACATTTGAATCCCACATAAATTCCATATTTAAGACTGTAGGATTGAATATTTAATGAGAATTTAGTTGAACAGATTTTTTTTTCGGGTACAGTACATTATATTTCCTACTTACTCACAGCTTTCCTGTGTTAGCGTGGACAACTCGTACAGCATTTGTGTGCCTCTTATTTCCTCAGGCTTATAATTTTGGGGGTATATTTTACAGTAGTATTTCCCATGTTTATATGTGGAAGCAATTTAGGAGTATCTGTGGAGAATCTAGAAGTGCTCTGTCTGTGTAGGGTAACACTGCTTTTAGAATGAAACATAAGAACCTGAGGATTCTATAACAACAATTGCCTTTGTTTCCTCACATTCCCCAAATCAAAAAGCAGATTATAGGGAGCAGCAGGGTTAGTGAGATTCTTAACTGGTGTATAGTTAATATTACACTGCATAATTTGACTAAATTTCAAATGTAACTTTTTAACAGATTTTTTTTTTCTGCAATTGTTTTGTAAACATTAGTGTAGGAACATACAAAGTAAATTTTCTGTAGCACTCATCATTATGGCAGTTAGGTATCAAGCCCAGGATCTAAATGCAAGTTGTCAGCTAAAGCCTTGTAGCTGGTCTCGTAGTCACACACTGATTTTCACACGTAGTCTTTGACTAGGTTGGGTTTCAGTTCCTTTCTATGAATATTAAATCACTTTAGCCTGAATTCAGTGGTGGTGTTTCAACTAGGTTTTAAGACTGTGGGTTTGAAGATATAGGCTAATGATATCCCTTTAATGCTATTTGAAATTTCATGAATGCCAAATGTTCTAGATTTTTACATGAGTTGTTTGGCTCCCAGGAGAGTCATAGTGAGGTGTGAGTGAACAGTAGGAAAACACGGAGCCAGTAGTGGTATGCCTTTTCTTTTTTGTATGT